TATATATATATATATATATATATAATGAGTGAGAGAGAAAGAGAGGAAAAGAGAGTGACTACATTTTCCCAGTTACAAAAAAACGATTTTGAAAACAAGACTACGCTATTTAAGTTTAGGATAGGTATCGAAATTAGTTACAACAATGCAACAAGATTCTGTTTTTTAACATTTATGTTTATCTTCGTCTATTCAAAACCATTTTTTAAACATTTTAACTTTAAAAAAAAGAAAACTAAATACAAATAATATTTGAAATGTACACTACCCAGCATGTTTATAAATGGGGGTACTATAAAAATTATTATTAAGATTATTAAGATTTAATGTATTTTGCTAATTAATTAAGAGTCGCTTACCTATTTGAGAATATAATATGGTCGACCAAATACCATCCTTGAAAATCAACCAGCCACCAGCTTGCGTATTCCCTGTTCGTGTGAGTGCAATCATAGTTTGCTAGGTCTTGAACTCTGATTCCATCATTTCCCAAACCAGGTCTTCCCCAATCAGTTGTACTAACATTAGAACTCTGATATGCAGGTTTGAAAAGGGCAGCGTTTACCAAAGTTTTGGAATCAACGAAATTACTTAGTAAAGAAAAGATGAAGACGATGACAGGATAGAAAGACATGTTGTCTTTGTAACACCACAGCCAGTTCTGACACTCAGTCTCGTTGCTAACGTCAGCTTGCAATACATAATGGCAATACAACATGTTGGGATTGAGCACTTCAAAGATACCGCAATACAATAGATATTTTGTCTGAATAATTTACTGACTTCTTTATAAAACAATGCAAACATAAAGACAAAAAAAACGTTTTAAGATCAACTGTTTCTTTTGTTTTCTTTTTTGACATTGTTTCTTTTTCAGAGCTCGTCCTCGCTTTTCTACCGTGAAACGACGTTGTGATATTCTGATTTGCCTAAGGTCGTGAAATATCATTGATGTCTGTCAGATATGGATTTCAACCTATACGTTCTGATAGTTATTTATAATTATATAGTAAAAAATGCAATTGACAAAAAAATTCGATTATTGTTTTGATTTTTTAACATACCTCTCCCCCACCCCCGTCTCCAACAGTAAACGAGTCTTGTAAAGATGTCTTGAGCCCCGAGTCTAGACCTGTCGCTATGGTCACACCCGGATGTCTGGTCATGTGTGACACTGTAACAGACGGTGGAGGATGGACCATTTTCCAAAGACGTGTTTCTGGAACTGTCGACTTTTACCGGAACAGAACAAAACCAAACACAACACAAACACAACGCAAACACAAAAGAAAACAAAAACACAATACAACCAGAAAAGAAAACACAAACACAATGCAAACACAAACGAACACACAAATGCAACACACAAAAAAAAAACGCATCACATTTTTTTCAGTACCTTATATTTTGAAAATTTACAATAGAGTTTAATGACTAAATTCATTGCGCGCCAAATGAACGTGATGACGCGTCTATAACAGTGCTGAATATTTTATTAAAAATTATATTTAGTAAACAGGACGTTTAGTGAATACAACAAATACAAGATGGCCTTTTATAAATCCATGCTAATTATAATACTCCAACAATAATGTCCTCTTTTAATAATGTCCTCTGCAGATTTGCATTCACATTTTGCTAATTATATTATTCCAACAATAATTCCCTCTTGAAGATTTTGCATTCACATTTTTGTATTAGCGTGAGTTGAATTTATTTTTAAATTACCTCCCTTGGCAATGGTGAAGATGGTGAAACATAAACACCGAATCGCAAGATTTACCATATTACACCGCAGTAAGATGGCTAAGCAGTGAGGAAGTTCTTAGCAGATTATTTAAGTTAAGAAAGGAAATAGGTTACTTCCTAGAAAGTAAAGGCAAGCCACAGCCATTAATGTCTGATGAAGATTGGGTATACAATCTGGCCTCTGCTGCAGACATAAATATTCATTTAAATTTTCTGAACCTGAAACTACAAGAGGAAAATCTATTTTCTGATCTATACACCCACATAAAGACCTTCAGATCCAAAATGTTATGTTTTGAACAAGTACAGGCCAACGACTTAACGCACTTTCAGAAGTCATCGCGGCTGAAGCAACAGCTTCCAGCTGCAGTTTCAGCAGCGGTTTTCTGACTTGGATTCAAAAGTAGAAGAAGTGAGACTGTTTCGAAACCCATTTGAAGCAAATGTGGCCAGTTGCCCAGATGAGCTGCAGCTGGAAGCCCCTGACAATGTTTCTTTCAGCATTTTTTCTCAGGGAGGGGGGGATACTTGAAATAAGCATATATCTCTGTATAAATTATATTCCGTTGGGGGGGGGTAGACGTTCTTCGTGGCGGGGGGTGGGGGGTCCGCCACCCCGAAGAGATGCCTTCAAGCAACTCTGGCCCCCGAACTGATATTTGATAGTTAATGCGGCCCTCGGGCTGAAAAGTTTGGAGACCCCTGCATTAGAGCACAGGATAGGTTTTTATCACACAGTACAGCAATACTAGATTCAAATTAGCCAAGCAAGTAATCATACTAATAAACGAACAATCAATGAACAACTACAGAAAACTAGACAAATTTATCAACAATCACACATTTGCAAGACAATACGATAAATAATTAGTTTAATTGAAAATAAACAAGCCGCGAACTATCAATAAAAATAACTAAATATTCAGTTTGAATCTAACGTCTGCTGTTGTTAAATAAAAGTAGAAACAGTTCTCATACTGTTATACCGATTGCTAGCTTATACTGAAATTGAAGAAAGCGGGATAACCAACTAAATAATATGTTGACTGTAACGTTGATTGAAAATATACATACATGTAAATATCATAGTCAATTACTACTTGACGCTACTTTAAAAAAAAAAGTTACTTACACGAGGCTAGGGGTTATGGAGCGACACTATCAGGTTAAAAGTTACTTTTTAATGTAATTTAACATCTAGTTATATTCAGCTGCATCTTTATGATTATAAATCATCTCCACTATTTAAAAGTTGGATGACAATAAATTTACTTTTAGAATTGCACATTTCGTGTCATGATTTTAGCAAAAATATAGCAATATTTTTTTTACTGTCATTATTCATTTTCCATATTTTTTCAATGCTGTAGTTGTTACATTATGTCTAGTTAGTGATTGTTACCTCCAATGTATAATGTATATTATTATTTTAGTTACGCACCTTTGAGTGTTTACTGTGTAGCTGATGTGTACCTGTGAGTTAGTTAACAGCAGACAGACCTAGATACAAGTCGTCTATTTTGTCTAGTGTAATCAATTATTAAGGTTAACTGACGAAACTGTTTGTTGAAAGAATGTAACAATAGTAACAGCTTGTACACGGAGGACGCGGGCTGGCTTTATTTTTGTGGAGCTAATTGGCAGAAGTGTTTGCACGTCTGACTTAATGCATGTAGAGCGAGGCGATTTGGTGCCGCGTGAATTGGTAGGTTTGAATTCCGTTGGGTTTGATCTGTTCTGTCTCTATTTGGACTAAAATTCTGTACCTTTGTCTACCCTTGGCGTTGAAATATCACTTTCTGTTTACATTACCATTTCGAAAATAGGGATCAACTGTATTCATTTCTCTTTTTCATTATACTTTTTATATGTATTCTCTGTATTTGTAAATGTAGTTAGTTACACAATGAATGTCTATGTTAGACTCAGTTAACAACCAGTCGATTTTTTTCTAATAATCACTGCCTTTGTTTTCTTTTGTTGGTCTTTCTTTTTTTATATCTTCGTGTCTCGCTGTTCTATACTATGGGCAGTCGTGCTTACAATAAGTTCGATATTTTTCTCTAGTGTTTGAATTGGTGATTGTATTTTGAGCACACGTTTTTGAAAACAGTTTCTTTTTTGTTTTTAACTTCTGTTTGAAAGAAAACGAAGCCATTCAATTGTTACAGATTCTCAGATAAAAAGTTAAAAGTTACACACTCTAGCGGCGGTGAAGAAATGTGTGCATCTAACTTCGATAGTTTTTATACTGCTTTATTCATAACTGGTTGTTTTGTTATTGTACTCGTTAGTTAAGTATTCTGTAGGAGAGGAATATGTATCAGTATTGTTGTAATTGATGTGTACGTCCTCTGTCTAGGCACAGTTGTTTTATTAATAATATTTTTCATTTTAGTTTAAGAATTGCAGACTAAATGTTTTCTACACACCTTGTCTCTGTCTAAATATAACTAACTGGATCGAATAAGTCACATCTCTGAGTACAAGACACTGTAATTGATTTGTGACTTATATAAGAGAAAGTTAATGTGTCTACGCGTAATGGAACAATACTTTATGTGTGCCACAGAATCAAGGACAATCTAGTGTATTTGCGCTATGTATCTCCACGCCTGAAACGTCTGAACTAGAATATAATAATAAAGTATGATTCAAAATTATATCTAAAATGTTTTTTTTATTCTAGATTGTTTAAAAAGACAATAAAATGTGCAAATATTAAAAAAAAAAATTAGCATGAATTAAACTTGTGTGCTGTTTAAAGTTGCAGACCTTAACAATAAAAACCTGTATACAACAATAGTTTCAACTAGTTCATGTAGAAACACTAACACGGGAATGTTAGTCGCTTCAAATGTCAATTAAAGATTATTAATTTAAAAGAAAAGAAACCTTAAGCAATTTCAAACGTTATTTTGAGTAGAAAATGTGTTAATTAACTTATTAGCAGCAAAAACATTGCATTCTGAACCTTATTAATTTAGGATAGCCATGTTTTAAGGAAATGTTAAATTCAGATAAGAAAATGAACAATACACGTATGCTGACAAAGTACTTCTTTTTCGTTGTCGAATTTTTCTAAAATTGCTTAATCTGTAAAATGTGCCATGTTTTAGTCTGAATTAAAAGTGATACAGGGAATATTTACTAATAAAAATCTTGTGTTTACAGCCTCAGAGATGTCATCGCTTTCTTTGATGAAGCTCTGAGTAACACACAACTGTGTCATTATACAACGAATAACAGTGTCAGCCAAAGATCTTAATAGGCTGAACCACATAAAGCCTAGCCCCCACTTGACCAAAAAGATTCCCCACCAGACTTGTGTTACTGGGGTTAAAGTCCAACAACTGACAGAGCCCCGTGGACTGGAACCAGTTGAAGGCCAGACAAATCCGAGTGTCCCTGGCCCTCAGACAGTCGAGGGCGCAGAACGTCGGTGTTTCTGTAGTGATTGTGACAATGGGAGACAGACTGAGTACCGTGTCGTCGTACGATGTGTAGTGCGCTTCCATGGGATCCATGTACGTCGACATCGCCTCAAGTTCACAAAAGTTAAGAACGTTTGTCGTGTACCTATAACATAAAATAAATAATCAAAATGATATAAACTTGATAATAGAGAAATCGGTTGAAATCTCGAGTTCAGATCCCAGACTTGAATCACCACGACATTGCTGAGTCGACCCAGCTCTAATTGGTACCTGAACTACATTAGGAAGAGTAAAGACTGCTGGGCATATTGCTGACTACATATTTAATATACCGAGCACCATTATACATGTTGATATATGATTCATCTACCCCAGTAAGGCTACCTTACTTTACCCGAAGCTTTAAAAGTAAACGCCATGGTAAAACACATTGTTTTTCTATTTTTAGATTTCCTTGATTTCTGATGTTTCTTTTTGTAGACGTATATTGTTTAAACCAGGGGTCTCCAAACTACGGCCCGAGGGCCGGATGCGGCCCGCGAGTTCCTCTCATCCGGCCCGCGGAGATCTTTTTGTCCACGGAAAAACGTTTGTTGGTGCTGGCTGAGGAACTTTGCCCAGAAAAATTAAAGACAAGCCTGGAAGAAACTGGCCCCCGAACTGAAATTTGTTAGATAATGCGGCCCTCGGACTGAAAAGTTTGGAGACCCCTGGTTTAAACGGTCATACCGCTACATATGAACACAAAATAAAATATACGTAAGATACAAATGAATATTAAATTATGTGTACAGTGTACAACGATGTAATGTATGTAGTTATGAAATGGGTGATAGCGTAGTGAAAACAACCAGCGTAAGCTAATCAAGGCTATAACTATTTCTCAAATATGGTACGGGATTATTTCACACTTAATAAAAGTCTCATTGCTTGTTATCTAAAACTATTACTGCAAGTTTCAATTCTATTAAGCTTCGAATGGTAACGTAGATGTTGACTTTTATAGATTCTTATAAAATTCTTATTAAATCGACTTATAAAATACTTTGATCTGAATGGTTCAACTGCCTCCCTAAATGACGCAGAAATCGGTGTGATACAGTCAAATGGTTTGGATATGACTTGTAAATTACTCTAACCGTAACACACATAAAAGACAGCGTGTTTCAACTATAATATAAATATTTGTATATAGAAAACTGTTCAGTGGCGAAGGCATATATAGACCACCCCTATATATATATATATATATATATATATATATATATATATATATATATATATATATATATATATATATAAGCTACTGAAACTGGTATTTTTAAATTGATACACATATATCGGTATGATGGTCAAGTACTTGTATATTAACATTATTGTATATCCCATGGGTGGCGCGAGTGATTATTACTAGCATTAGTGAATAAAATGTGTACTAAAATATTATTGTATTTACCCTTAACAATACCTTATAAGTCTAAGAAATCTCCCCAACACTGGAGTCGTACAGTTCAAGACAGAAGTTCCTGCCACAAGAGGATTGACCTGCTGGTAGCATAAGTCACCAGACACCAACGGGAACCCTGGCATCAAGCGCGGGTCTGTTCTAAACACTTCGATCGTGAAGTTTTGCAATTTCGGAGCGCCGTAATCAAGTCTGGTAGCAAAGATACAACTATATATATATATATATATATGTATATATATATATATACATATATATATATATATATATATATATATATATATATATATATATATATATATATATATATATATATATGTATCTCTCTCTCTCTCTCTCTCTCTCTATATATATATATATATATATATATATATATATATATAAAGAGAGAGAGAGAGAGAGAGTGACTACATTTTCCCAGTAAAAAAACGATTTTGAAAGCAAGGCTACCCTATTTAAGTTCAGGAAAGGTATCGAAATTAGTTACAAAAATGCAATAAGATTCTGTTTTTTAACATTTATGTTTATCTTCGTCTATTTAAAAATATTTTTTTTTAACTTTTTAAATTAAAAAAAAAAACTAAATACAAATAATATTTGAAATGTATACTACCCAGCATGTTTATAAATGGGGGTACTATAAAAAATTATTATTAAGATTTAATGTATTTTGCTAATTAATTAAGAATAGCCTACCTATTTGAGAATATAATATGGTTGACCAGGTACCATCCTTGAAAATCAACCAGCCACCAGCTTGCGTATTCCGATTGCGTGTGAGTGCAATCATAGTTTGCTAGGTTTTGGACTCTGATTCCATTATTTCCCAAAGCAGGTCTTCCCCAATCAGGTGGCGATGTACTAACTTGAGAACTCTGATATGCAGGTTTGAAAAGGGCAGCATTTACCAAATTTTTGGAATCCACGAAACGGCATAGTAAAGAAACGATGAAGACGATGACAGGATAGAGAGACATGTTGTCTTTGTAACACCACAGTTGTTCTGACACTCAGTCTCGTTGCTAACGTTAGCTTGCAATACATGATATTAAACAATATGTTGGGATTGTCCGTTGCAAAGATACGCCAATACAATAGATATTTTGTCTGAATAATTTACTGACTTCTTTATAAAACAATGCAAAAATAAAAACAAACAAAACATTTTATGATCAACTGTTTCTCTTGTTTTCTTTTTCGACATTGTATTTTTCAGTTCTTGTCGTCACTTTTCTACCGTGAAACGATGTATGATTTTAAAAAAAACGTGTTCTCTATATGTACGGTTCGACAGCGGTATTGTGTCTTTGTTCATTTCGTCAAACGGTCTGTTACCCTATCGTAACCACTGCGTTGTCATCAAATATTGACCAACGTGTCGGTTTAAAAAAAAAAAATTGGTTCGGTTGAAGTAAATGAAATAAAAAAATTAAGTTTTCCGCCGTTTGCTGCCGCACCAAAAATTAAACATGAGATGAGAAATTAAGTGAGCTAAAATCTTGTAAATTATATTTTTTTTAAATGATCAGTTTGTTACAGCTATTTATAAATCAAATCTTTGGTTCTTACTTTCATGTTTAAAGAATATAGAAAAGTACTGTAATCGTGCATGTCAACGGTAAATTGTATGTGTACCGTTTTACAATATATATATATATATATATATATATATATATATATATATATATATATATATATATATATATATATATATATATATATATATATATATATATATTTCAACCGGTAGGGGGTCTGAGCCACCACTATACCGTGAATTCTGTACAACTGAATAAAATAATAACAATAATAACCCATAAGGGTATGAATAGATTTACTACAGATTTTTTTTATGTAATTAGTGTTGCCTTAATTATAAATTTTTGCTATACAAATAGAATCTACATAACTTTTTAATAGCTTGGGACTTTAAGTGCTTACATATGCGCTCGCTTTGAATGGTTGATCGCCGACCTAGGACGCTGTAAATAGGAGGCATGGCCTACTTTAATATTGCTAACATAATCAACGTAACTAGCGTTACATGTGTAGAACAATGTTGTGGGATATAGTAATGAGAGGTACTCATTAAATACAACTCATGTTGAGGGAAAAGTCTCAAAGGTATTTGAGAGGTCCATAAATTATTAAAAAAATAATGCACGACGTAGTTACAATTAATATGGTTATAAAATCCTGCCTGTCTGGTTTTTTTCGGACTTTACTAAAGATTGGATGTATCTGTTGTTTTTAATATTTTCGGTAATTAAATAAAAATTTAAAAAAAGCAATAAAAATAAGCATTGCACATTTGATTGCTATAACTTTTTACACACAAATGCAATAGCGTTTTTTATGTAAGGAAATTTTAAAATTAATTTTTGGGTTTCCTTGATAACGAAAATTGTTTCGACAAATTTTTTTATGCAGTTGATTATTTATATTCATTAGTCAAACATGGTTTAAGTATTTCAAAAGCTTCAGAAAACCTAGAAACAATAATCCCTATACTTTTAGTTAATTCCCGAATATATTCGATCATTATCCAATTAGTTCCTAACGCTGATTAAGCAAAAGACTGTTTAGGTTCATGGAGACCTGATTTTCCTCTAGAATTATTTTGGACAAATCCTCGTTTGGTCTCAGCTGATGTTCCTTTAGTCTGGGGGTGGTCAGGATTCTCAGACGCTGGTACAGGGCATTGGATGAAAATAGGATGACAATAGAAATCATTGGATGAAAATAGGATGATTATAAAAATCATTGGATGGAAATAGGATGATTATAGAAATCATTGCATGAAAATAGGACGATTATATAAATAAATGGATGAAAATAGGATGGTTTTAGAAATCAATTGATGAAAATAGGCTGATTATAGAAATAATTAGATGAAATAGAATGATTATATAAATCATTGGATGAAAATAGGATGATTATATAAATCATTGCATGAAAATAGGATGGTTAAAGAAATCTAAGGTGAAAAGCTCTTGAACTTAGAAGTCAGAGGTTTAAAATCTATTTGATTTCAACTATAGAGATAGATGTGAATAATACTTTCGATAAATTTCTATTTTGAAAATGTGCTGATTTAAAAAAAACAATGGTGAAAAACAAATAGTGTAGGAAAAGTGTTTCAAAGTAAAAATGATAAAGTAAATAAATATTGACCTTATATTCAACAGGGGACAGCGTGGTCGGACACTAGAATGAACAGCTGTTAACACAAAAGTCTCTGTTTCGGTTCTCTGGCTCCACGCCTTTGGATGTACTTACCATTTGGGAAAGTAAATACATCTGTACATGAGACTGACAACCTTATCCCTTCATGCCACAGAAACGGGTGAACGCTACTATTGAGCTTTATAGTTCATAAAGTGTATCTCTTTTATATTTGAAATCAATGGGCCTCACGTTTATAATCAAAATAAAATGATTTTGAGTATTGTATCTAAAATATATAGCAATGTACTTGTAACTAGTAATCAACGAACACACTAACCTCTATAAGCGTCCCTGGCGTCACGACCAAGCCCTGGATCATGAAGACCGGGATAAGGGCCACACTGACGAGCGCTAATGTCCAGCCAATCCCGATAGCCCACGACGGGAAGACGTAGGTGACGAACTTCCGTTTGTAATCCACCTCAGAGTAACTGGCACAGCCCAGCGTGAAAATAGCCTGCAATAACAAGTAGTAATAACAAAAGATAAACTAACAATAATTGTTATAAAGCAAAAACTATCAACTGAGAAAAAAAAACTAAAATAAAAATATACAAATCAAAACCTATCAATTTACATTTCTGAAATTGCAAAATTACAAAATAAAACGAATTATTGACAAACAAATTTTAAAAAAAAAATAACGAAGAAAAGAATTAAAACAAGCATTTAAAGAAGAAAAAACTAGTATCTTACATAAAATAAAAATTTACCATAAACAAAACTATTAACATTTAACTTAACCATTTACAAACAACCACTTACAAATTACAAATTAAAAACCAAATCGAACAAATAACAAACTAACAAAAATTCCTTTAAAAATATTAAAAATTAGAGAAAATAAACTGGGAGTGATCTCCCCTAAACATTCTCGAATATTCTTATATGAAACAACAGGGGATGGCAACTCGGGATACAGACATGATTTTTAATCAATTTTTAATTACTTTTTAAAATAGAATAGAATTTCGTAGAAAAAAGAATTGCACACCAAGTAAACGCAAAACAAAATGTGTATAATAGGGTGAAATATTATTAGTACTCTGTACATTCACATGTGTTTTTTGAGAAATCGGAAATAGCGAAAATTACTACTTTCGTTCAACGGAAATTACTCAAAGTTTGAAAGAAGGCAGAGAATTAGATTTTTTTACTGACATGTGAAATTTCAATTATCTATCTAAAATAGTACTCAAGTTATAGGCTTTTGAAAAACTGAAAGTAGAAAGCGTTCCTCTTACGGTTATCGGAAATCTTTCAAAAGTTGATACGAATTTACTCAAGTTATTGTGTTTACACACACACTTACACACTCTCACACAGACATATGGACAACATTGCAAAACTTGTTTCTTCGACACAGGGAGGTGTAAAACGTCGAGATTTGCAAAAATCTCGATTTTTTTTTTGCACGATTACAAGACTATATCCATACTTCGTATACACGAGGAAGTAAAAAAATCTAACAACATGATAGACAGAAAAAGGGAAACAAAATTAACCTGTTTATTAAGCAAAATTAACAATGTACAACAGAAAAAAAATAACAAATCACAATTTCTGTCTCCTATAAACTTATATTTTTTTATTTATAAATTATTATAATATTCTATTTAATCTAGACATACAGAACAACACATCCTACCAATGTATAAAACGGACTGAGAAAACCATTAAAGATCCGGATGTACCAGCGGAGGAGTTTTGTTACCAACGTGTTGTTGAACCCAAACATGATGATTAGGTTATCACAGAAGCGATCAATACCTGTGTAGAAGTTAGTATAAGAAATACAACATATCCTCTTTGTAACTGTTCTTGATGGGTAGGCTACAAGTCAGCTGATAAAGAGAGTAATATAGTGACATAAACCATATAAGTAACTAGAAAACCACATTCATCTACCATAGACACAATCCACAACTAGACAACCACATCCATCTACCATAGACACAAGCCACAACTAGACAACCACATCCATCTACCATAGACACAAGCCACAACTAGACAATCACATCCATTTACCATAGACACAAGCCACAACTAGACAACCACATCCATCTACCATAGACACAAGCCACAACTAGACAACCACATCCATCTAACATAGACACAAGCCACATCTAGACAACCACATCCATCTACCATAGACACAAGCCACAACTTGACAACCACATGCATCTACCATAGACACAAGCCACAACTTGACAACCACATGCATCTACCATAGACACAAGCCACAACTAGACAACCACATCCATCTACCATAGACACAAGCCACAACTAGACAATCACATCCATCTAACATAGACACAAGCTACAACTAGACAACGACATTCATCTACCATAGACACAAGCCACAACTAGACAACCACATCCATCTACCATAGACACAAGCCACAACTAGACAACCACATCCATCTACCATAGACACAAGCCACAACTTGACAACCACATGCATCTACCATAGACACAAGCCACAACTTGACAACCACATGCATCTACCATAGACACAAGCCACAACTAGACAACCACATCCATCTACCATAGACACAAGCCACAACTAGACAACGACATCCATCTACCACAGACACAAGCCACAACTAGACAATCACATCCATCTACCATAGACACAAGCCACAACTTGACAACCACATCCATCTACCATAGACACAAGTCACATCTAGACAACCACATCCATCTACCATAGACACAAGCCACAACTAGACAACCACATCCATCTACTATAGACACAAGCCACAACTAGACAACCACATCCATCTACCATAGACACAAGCCACAACTAGATTCCAACATCCACCTACATAAACACAGGCCACAACTAGACAACCACATGCATCTACCATAGACACAAGCCACTACTAGACAACCACATCCATCTACCATAGACACAAGCCACAACTAGACAACCACATCCATCTACCATAGACACAAGCCACAACTAGACAACCACATCCATCTACCATAGACACAAGCCACAACTAGACAACCACATCCATCTACCATAGACACAAGCCACAACTAGACAATCACATCCATCTACCATAGACAAAGCTACAACTAGACAACGACATTCATCTACCATAGACACAAGCCACAACTAGACAACCACATCCATCTACCATAGACACAAGCCACAACTAGACAACCACATCCATCTACCATAGACACAAGCCACAACTAGACAACCACATCCATCTACCATAGACACAAGACACAACTAGACAACCACATCCATCTACCATAGACACAAGCCACAACTAGACAACGACATCCATCTACCACAGACACAAGCCACAACTAGACAACCACATCCATCTACCATAGACACAAGCCACAACTGGACAACCACATCCATCTACCATAGACACAAGCCACAACTAGACAACCACATCCATCTACCATAGACACAAGCCACAACTAGACAACCACATCCATCTACCATAGACACAAGACACAACTAGACAACCACATCCATCTACCATAGACACAAGTCACAACTAGACAACCACATCCATCTACCATAGACACAAGCCACAACTAGACAACCACATCCATCTACTATAGACACAAGCCACAACTAGACAACCACATCCATCTACCATAGACACAAGACACAACTTGACAACCACATGCATCTACCATAGACACAAGCCACAACTAGACAACCACATCCATCTACCATAGACACAAGCCACAACTAGACAATCACATCCATCTACCATAGACAAAGCTACAACTAGACAACGACATTCATCTACCATAGACACAAGCCACAACTAGACAACCACATCCATCTACCATAGACACAAGCCACAACTAGACAACCACATCCATCTACCATAGACACAAGACACAACTAGACAACCACATCCATCTACCATAGACACAAGCCACAACTAGACAACCACATCCATCTACCATAGACACAAGCCACAACTAGACAACCACATCCATCTACCATAGACACAAGCCACAACTAGACAACCACATCCATCTACCATAGACACAAGACACAACTAGACAACCACATCCATCTACCATAGACACAAGCCACAACTAGACAACCACATCCATCTACCATAGACACAAGACACAACTAGACAACCACATCCATCTACCATAGACACAAGCCACAACTAGACAACGACATCCCTCTACCACAGACACAAGCCACAACTAGACAACCACATCCATCTCCCATAGACACAAGCCACAACTAGACAACCACATCCATCTACCATAGACACAAGCCACAACTAGACAACCACATCCATCTACCATAGACACAAGACACAACTAGACAACCACATCCATCTACCATAGACACAAGCCACAACTAGACAACCACATCCATCTACCATAGACACAAGCCACAACTAGACAACGACATCCATCTACCACAGACACAATTCACAACTAGACAACCACATCCATCTACCATAGACACAAGCCACTACTAGACAACCACATCCATCTACCATAGACACAAGCCACAACTAGACAACCACATCCATCTACCATAGACACAAGCCACAACTAGACAACCACATCCATCTACCATAGACACAAGCCACAACTAGACAACCACATCCATCTACCATAGACACAAGCCACAACTAGACAATCACATCCATCTACCATAGACAAAGCTACAACTAGACAACGACATTCATCTACCATAGACACAAGCCACAACTAGACAACCACATCCATCTACCATAGACACAAGCCACAACTAGACAACCACATCCATCTACCATAGACACAAGCCACAACTAGACAACCACATCCATCTACCATAGACACAAGACACAACTAGACAACCACATCCATCTACCATAGACACAAGTCACAACTAGACAACCACATCCATCTACCATAGACACAAGCCACAACTAGACAACCACATCCATCTACTATAGACACAAGCCACAACTAGACAACCACATCCATCTACCATAGACACAAGACACAACTTGACAACCACATGCATCTACCATAGACACAAGCCACAACTAGACAACCACATCCATCTACCATAGACACAAGCCACAACTAGACAATCACATCCATCTACCATAGACAAAGCTACAACTAGACAACGACATTCATCTACCATAGACACAAGCCACAACTAGACAACCACATCCATCTACCATAGACACAAGCCACAACTAGACAACCACATCCATCTACCATAGACACAAGACACAACTAGACAACCACATCCATCTACCATAGACACAAGCCACAACTAGACAACCACATCCATCTACCATAGACACAAGCCACAACTAGACAACCACATCCATCTACCATAGACACAAGCCACAACTAGACAACCACATCCATCTACCATAGACACAAGACACAACTAGACAACCACATCCATCTACCATAGACACAAGCCACAACTAGACAACCACATCCATCTACCATAGACACAAGACACAACTAGACAACCACATCCATCTACCATAGACACAAGCCACAACTAGACAACGACATCCATCTACCACAGACACAAGCCACAACTAGACAACCACATCCATCTCCCATAGACACAAGCCACAACTAGACAACCACATCCATCTACCATAGACACAAGCCACAACTAGACAACCACATCCATCTACCATAGACACAAGACACAACTAGACAACCACATCCATCTACCATAGACACAAGCCACAACTAGACAACCACATCCATCTACCATAGACACAAGCCACAACTAGACAACGACATCCATCTACCACAGACACAATTCACAACTAGACAACCACATCCATCTACCATAGACACAAGCCACAACTAGACAACCACATCCATCTACTATAGACACAAGCCACAACTAGACAACCACATCCATCTACCATAGACACAAGACACAACTTGACAACCACTTCCATCTACCATAGACACAAGCCACAACTAGACAACCACATCCATCTACCATAGACACAAGCCACAACTAGACAACCACATCCATCTACCATAGACACAAGACACAACTAGATTCCAACATCCACCTACATAAACACAGGCCACAACTAGACAACCACAACCACCTACCATAGACACAAGCCACAACTAGACAACCACATCCACCTACCATAGACACAGGCCACAACTAGATTCCAACATCCACCTACATAGACACAGGTCACAACTAGACAACCACAACCACCTACCATAGGCAGAGGCGACAACAAGACAACCACATCCACCTACCATAGACATAGGCCACAACCAGACACTCAACAACAGCCACCAACATTACAATTCTGCTGGCTGAGTAATAATCAAAAAGTTGGAATACGTACATCCCACCCTGAAAGAATCACCATAGCGATATACATAAACTCAAATACAAGTTTTAAAATTATTACATAAAAAGTACCTGAAACATAGCAGGGAAAACATTGTTTACTACGTATAGTGCAGACGACTGACAATACAATTCAATTGTAGGAGAAACAGCTTTATTTAACTAAAGCCGTCTTCTAAACTGTCAATTTTTTTTAAAATATTTTTTTTTGCCATTCAGTTCTTGATTGGTAGCTGGACAGTTACAACTGTTTCGATTTTATAGAGAGGCCATAAAGCTGGTAAAACAATATTTTAGCAGTTTAATTTCAGGTTGAAAGAGATAAAATCGGGAGTGACCTTCCTCGTACATTTTCTCGTATAAATGTATGGTTGAGATTTTAGTGGAATCGGTCTGTATAAATGAATCTTTTTCAGAAAACATAAAGAAATAACATTTTCTTTATGAGAATATGATAACAAATTATCAAATTCAAGGTGTAAAAATTTCGAGATTTAAAAAAAAATCACACTTTAGATTTTTTTTCACTATTACAATACTTTAACTTGTACTCCAAGTGTGAGAAAGTAATATCGCTTTAATTCAGTACTCACTTCCGTGACCATTGAGAGTCCAATAATGTAGCTGACCACACAGACCACAACTGTGAATATTTCTTTGCGGTAGCCTCGTCTTAAGATGTCTGGACACAGGTCGACACAGGCAGAGATAAAGCCCTCAACTGCAGCAAACTGAAATACGCGAAGCGTAGCTTTATTCTTAACTTTTTTTAAAGATTTTAATTAGATTTTTTTAGTTTGTTTGTTTGCTTGTTTGTGGGATGCGTCAAGTCAAATCTTGTAACTTAATTTTGATCCCTTTCTCGTGTTCTGATTTCGTTCGTCTCAATAATGCAAGAATATCTCATGTTTAATCTAATTATTAGGCAGTGGTTAAACATTACAATTTATTTAAAATATTACTAAATTCAGTAATAAAATGGGAGATAACAAGATAAAATATTAACAACTCTCTTTCTCCGGTTGCTTTTTAAGCCTAGTGGTATCATCCAAAGACCCACCTGGCTATCTAAGCCTAGCAGTATTATCATGATGAAGAAACAAGCCGACCAAAATGGAGCTAAAGGCATCTGTGAAACAGCTTCAGGGTAGGCGATGAATATAAGACCAGGGCCTGTAGAAGAAATGAATGGAAACGGTTGCTCCGAGAAGATCAAGCAAAAAGTAATAATAACATCAGGTAGTGTTAGTATCGTATTAAAGTTAAGGCAATACAAGTACATCATACACTTAGATCGATCAATAAAATTAACATACCTAATTAATTAAAAATTTCTTTCTTACCTCATGTACTAGCTTTTATCAAAAAGTTTAGCCCCAAGTGCTCTCAACATTGAAATATGGGTGAAATGTTTTCAACTATACAGGTTTAAATATTATTTTAATAAATTGCTTTCGGTAGTTTCTCATATATTAGAGATGATTACGTATACCGCAGTATATAAAGTAGCGCGTTGTTGACTGTTAGATCATCCTTTGACACAATACCTCTAGTTCCACTCACGCAAAAAAAAATCTGTTTTGTTTTGTATTGAAAACTCCGAATAGATGATCCCAAGAAGAAGACGCCAAGAAGACTGGATACACCTGGGGACAGTTGGAGAGACTAGCCCAGGACAGATGCCTGATACACCTGGGGACAGTTGGATCGAGACTAGCCCAGGACAGATGCCTGATACACCTGGGGACAGTTGGAGAGACTAGCCATGGACAGGGATGCCGGATACACACGGGGACAGTTGGAGAGACTAGCCCAGGACAGATGCCTGATACACCTGGGGACAGTTGGAGAGACTAGCCTAGGACAGATGCCAGATACACTTGGGGACAGTTGGAGAGACTAGCCCAGGACAGATGCCAGATACACTTGGGGACAGTTGGAGAGACTAGCCCAGGACAGAGATGTCTAGAAAGCTCTAGTCAGCTGGCCCTGTCCCAAGAGTGGCGACATGGTAATCCATTTGGATAAAATATACGTTAATTATGTTATTGAGAATTGACTTAGACAACTTAAAATCAAACAAAGTACGTTTATGCTTTTATTTCTTGTGGGAAGGGGGAGGGTTCTATTTGTTTAACTATATTATTTAAACGGACTAACTTATGTACAAATAAAAACTTACCCGCCTCAGCAACGTCCTCTATGGAGATGTTTTGTTTGAAAGCCATGTAGCCCAGAATAGAGAAAATAACAACACCGGCAAGAAGACTTGTCAACGAGTTCACAAGGGCGAAAATTAGACTGTCTCTATAATTTTGAGAAGGGTGAAATGTATATTATTCTCTACATTTGAGGACCAGGCTTCTGTTACAATTAATGGAATGTTAATTACAAGCGCCAGTATCGCGGAACAATAAACCAAATGTTGCTGATATAATGTAAAGCAAAAATAGTTTTTCTTCACCTAAAGCAGTTGTGATGGAACTTGTTGTAGCTTCCCAGTGCCATCAAGGTACCCAGTGATATAGCGTAGGAAAAGAATATCTGCGTGCCTGCGTCTACCCATACCTACATATAAAATTTAATAATAACAATAAATTTACCATACAATACAAAAATTGTTTTTACAGAACATTCTAACTAGTACTATCCACGTTTGCAGCCAAGGTCAGTCGTAGTTCGTTTTCCATATTAAGTGAAAATTTATTTTAGCCTGATCTACTACTATAGCCTACATGTGTGTTGTGAAGGTCCATTATTGAATGGAAGCTTTGTATACGCCCAACATTCGCCTTTATCCATCAATGCACTTGCGGCTGTAGTAATTTATTGCTTTTAATTACTATTTTCCCATAGACAGGTTCATGCACAAGATCCGTGGTAGACAAAGTAGCCGTACATGCAAGCAATTAACCATTTTTGGTGTGGTCGAGTCGGTTAGGCTCATAGTTTCTGAACCGATTAGTCCTGAGTTCGAACCTCCGGGCAGATGAAGCTCGATAGCTGGGGACAGCCACTCATCTATGAGAGACAACTCTAAAATGAAACAACTGCTGCCTTGTAGTTTGTTCTTGGTTGGACAAAGGCTAAGAAAGCAAATCCTAAAAGAAAAGCAGTCTGAAATCGGATTCAACGGCCTAAATGACGAACATCCCGTTGACAAGTATACTTAATTGTGTTGGGAGGAATCCCTTTCAATACTAAAATTAAGAAAAAAGAAGAAATAGCATTGTCCCTAAAAACATCTACTAAAATAAAATTAATACATGTTGTATGTAGTTTTTACTTTTCACCTGGAGAAAGCACATCAAAACACCCAAAGTAAAGGAATCAAACAAAATAAGGAAACTGGCAGGAACGGACTGGGGAGCAAATCATCACATCCTGAAAAAAAAACACCACACCAGCTCTATCGGACCTACCCTAGGATATGAGGCTAAACAATACCTGCAGCATGGTTGTGTTGCAGTGGATCCCGAGCCACTAACAAATACAAAGGAGTGAGATTGCTGACCAGCTGGCGAAAATCGAGGGGAAAGAAAAACAACCACACAAAAAAAGAATCATTAAAATACAAACACTGGACCCTACACACCACACTCAAGGAAAAATTATATGGGGCACCCGCGGATCTGAAGACCACAGTCAAGTTCATACTCGAAATTGGACTTCCTTTAATCCTCCAACATAAACTCAAATAAAAACGCAGAAGAAGAAGTTTATTTTTTATTTTTTGCTACATTGATACAACATTCAACTCACATAATCCCGAATATAATTTATTATATTTAAAATCAGTATGAATTCCTGTCCAGTTACTTACAAAAACTGCTGACTTCTTAACTAGTTAACTACTTTAAATAATTAACCACATGAAACTACCTGAGCATCGGCTAGGCGCTCCCACTTAGGGTCTAGGTAATACAACAACCCCTGGGTGGACCCTTCCAGCGTGACGCCCCTGACTAGTAAGATGAACATGAAGACGTATGGGCTACTCACAGTGAAGTACATGACCTGTCGATGTAGAACCACATCCATATAACTTATGTTGAATCTTCTTCTTCATTCTTAAGTTTAGTGTTGAAAGAGATCCCTTCCAACACAATTAAGTATACGTGTCAACTCGTTACGCGCTGTTGACTCCGATTTCAGCCTGCTTTTCTTTTTGGATTTGCTTCCATAGCCTTTGTCCAACCAAGAACAAACTACAAGGCAGCAGTTGTTAGATTTTAGAGTTGTCTGTCCTAGATTAGTGGCTGTCCCCAGCTAACGAGCCTCATCTGCCCGAGGGTTCGAACTCGAGACTTTTCGGTTTAGCAACCATGAGCTTTACTGACTGATGAAGTTTTATATAAAATTATATTAACATTTAAAAATAAGACTATATCAGCTCGAGTTTCTTACCTTCCCAGACGACTTAATCCCCTTACAGATGCAGACGTAGACGATGACCCAGGCCAGCAGCAGACACAGGGCGTTGTCCCACTTGATGGTACCTGGTTCTCCAACCCCAGAGGACAGGCCCAGTACCTTACGTCTAGTGGTAGGGTCAGACGATACGTACACTTACATTGTGCTTGAATAAAACTTTACACCTTCTATTTAAAAATTGCATACAGTTTTGTAGCAAAATTGATACAATATGACATAAAGAGTTAAATATATCATTTCAATATACGATGCTGAGGTTTTAGAGATGCTCTTTACATTTCGGTTGGTTTACTTTCTTAAACTCAAACAGAACAATTACATTAAATACTAATGGGGCGACGTAGCTGGGTGGATGAGATAATACGAAAGTCGCGAATTCGAATATCGCGCTCGAGATTGTTCGACTTCAATGAATAAAACAAGCTATGATGGGTAAATGGTTCAAGTTAGGGAGACAAAGGCGCTGTGCAAAGTGCTGACACACCATCCATCCCCCCCCCCCTTGCATGCCGAGGACAATGATACATATTAACTCTACTTCAACTGTCCGTGTTTTTCTTGGGCACAAACAGGAAAAGATGATGATAATTAAATATTATTTTTCAGTCGTAAACATGCTATATTAAAGACAAAGGATATTCGACAATGATTGTTTCCTATGTTGCAATAACATTATGAAGTACATTATTTCCAATTCTAATGTTGCTAAGATCAAATTAACGCCTTTTTTCCAGCTACAAAAAATAAATAAATCGCACAGGCATATATTTCCATGTCTGGTTAGTTAGAACTATCGCAGCTATTAAATATCATTGCCATACATGTACAGTATTTCATACAGTAAGACTCAGAGGTGCGCATAATTCTGCAAGGCTTGACATAAAGCGTCGGCGGTTTCAAACATATTAGGCATCTCTTCGGTGGGGGTGGGGGGCGCTACTCTTATCGAAATGAAATGAAAAATATATTATTGATATAGAAAATATATACTAGAATAAGCGACACCCTCCGCCGTCAAATTTTACATTTTTAGAAAAACATTCTAAACGAACTCTGTTTCCATTTATAATCTGCCTAAATGCTGAACAAATTTAGGAAAGAGACATATGTTACAACACAATGGTAGAATTACTCCCAAAATTCTGTAACCGGATCTGACGACATTGCCTTTTGTCTAAGCTGGAACATTTTCACTCGTCCGTTGTCTTGTATCTCCGTGACGTCAGAATACAGATCCAAACTGATTGTGTTCGAGTCATTGATGGGCGATTTTAGAACATCCCTCAGAGCCGTGTTCAGTAGGTTCTCAGTGTTGTTGAAGTTCAAGGTCGGGTCATCGAACATGGAGCAGTTGGGCGTGTTCCAGGCGTTGCCGCAGTGTGACCAGGGGAGGGTGGTCGTGAAGGAGGCGAAGACGTAGTAGAACGCCCAGGAGAGGATGATGTTGTACTCGCAATTGACTAGAAAGATGATGGCCGCTGTGGCGTAGCCAATACCTGGGAAAAAAATAAACATTAAACTCTTTTATTTTATTTAATTATCGAAGAAAACCGGTAACCTGCATAGTGAGACAGACAATCAACTAGAATACAAAGAAACAGACACAGGTCAGTAAAAGCCCGGAGATTTGTGTAGGAGAACGACACAATGAAGATGGGTTACCACTGGGGACAGAAGATCTAACCAGAACAGATTTGCTAGAAGGCTCATGTCGGCTGCGTGGGTCAGTATTTTATGTATCAAATACCTTTACAAACATGTTTTAAGCGACCTATGCTTTTCTTTATTGTAATATGAAATTATGGTAATTTTTGTATATTTAACGAAAAGAAACACACAGAAAATTTGCAAGTGATTGTGCATGGGATCTATTTAATGACAACTTTATTTCTGACACGCTCTGAAACGGAGGAAAAACAAACCTTGGACACGTTTTTTAAAAGCCTGCTTGAGACAATGAGGAAAGCGTGGCGAAAAAAAAAGCAAAAAAATAAAAAAATAAAATATCCGAGAAGATAACACACCTTTAAACAGAGGCACTATCTTCCAGTCCTGCAATCCCTTCAAAATCCAGAGTCCTATATTCAAACACTTATGACAGCACTAGAGAGGCTAAAAAATACCTGCAGCAGAATTGTGCTGCAGTGGATAGCGGGCCACTGCCAGATCCAGGGTGACGAGATCGCAGACCAGCTGGCAAAAATTGGGGGAAAGAAACCACAACCGGAAATTTCGCTACACCCAAAAGAAATAAAAAGAATTATAAAAAACAAACAAACGCAAATGTGGTCTGTCACACACCCTCACTACATTAAAGACGACGGCTATTATAATTTAACACGAAAAAAACAATACATAATCTTTCGACTTAGAACAGGCCACAACAGACTAAATCAACACATGCACAGAAAACTGAAGGTTGGGTGTAGCGAAATGTGCCCTTGTGGCAAGGCCCCGGAAAACACGGAGCACGTACTCCAGGAATGCACTTTGTATAGCCAGGCACGAGACAGACACTGGCCCCAGCCCACCCCACTCAGGGTAAATTATATGGGGCACCTGACAAACTGGAGACCACAGTCCGGTTTGTCCACGAAGTTGGACTTGTTGTCTAAATCCTCCACCATATTTACAATTAAGAACGAAGAAGAAGAAGAAGAAACCGAGAAGATAACACACCTTTAAACAGAGGCACTATCTTCCAGCACCCTATGCCACCCTCGCTCATAAACTGTCCGAGCGACACTTCCAGGAAGAACATTGGGATACCTCCAAGAATGACGGAGATGAAGTATGGTACCAAGAAGGCGCCTGTTTAGATGAAAACAAATGACTGAAATAATTGTATACAATAACCCCAATTTTTAATGTTTGAAATCGTGAACAAAATGTCAAACGTACATATACAATGCCCTTACCTCCACCGTTTCGGTAACACAGGAACGGGAATCTCCAAACATTGGCTAGACCAACGGAAAACCCTATACAAGCGACGAGAAAGTCAAGTTTCTTGGCCCATACTTGGCGTCTACGGAGTTTTGGTTTACGTCGACCTATGCCAGGCTCCTCCACTTGATGGGCATCATCCATCTCGAGCATGTCCCTCTCCATCACACACATGCATGTAAAAACAATGGTTCGTTTAACGCCAATATACATCGGCGAGTTAACTTAGCTTACAGTCGCTTTGTTGTTCGTAGATATAGTGTACAGTGAAGCAGTGGCGTCTCTAGATGGGGTTTCGCCCGGTGCGAAACCTTACTGTGTCACCAACCCCAACCCCCCCTAACAAATGCAAAAAAGTACAAGGTTTTATATATATATATATATATATATATATATATATATATATATATATATATATATATATATATATATATATATACTTATGTTTATAAATAGGCATATGTAAGCCTAAATATATATATATATATATATATATATATATATATATATATATATATATATATATATATATATATATGGATGTAGCATTGGTTTCTATACAGTTAGCAAGTTTAAGTCATAGTATCACCGCACCATCCATGTCGCGAATTGGCGAATTGTGAATCGTTCTTAAAAGACAATTTAAATATAATTAAACATTAATTAAACTGGGAAAAAAGCATTTTTCTTCTTTATTTTTTACAATTTTTTTGTCTTGGTGTCACCCCCCCCCTCCTAAATGGTGTCACCCGGTACGGTCCGCAGCCCCCCTAGCGACGCCTCTTACGTGGAGTTACATTAGCATTGATCATGTTTTAGCTGTCGCAAATTGAATGTGACATAAAATAAAACGTGTCGAGCAACATAAAGCTTCTAACATTTATCTTTTGTGTTTACACATTAATTTGTGAATAATCCTATTCATAAAGGGGAAAATTATAATACCCAAGAAATTAGTGGTATAATTAAACAGAAATTAGATATACTTTTAGGATTTTAATGTGAATTGCTAATGATTTCTACTTAATATGTGCATTTTCTAGGTGCACCATCAAAACGCCCCGGGACAAAACGACCCCGACAAAGCGGCCCCGTCAATATGACCCCGACAAATCGACCCATTACAAAATTACCCAGTCAAAATAGCCCCGTCAAAAGGGACCCGGCGTAGAGGCTCGCGGCAAATTGACTCGCGACATATAGGCTCCCGACAAGTGGGCTCCCGACATTTAGTCTATCGACAAATTGCATACTGGCTCTCTACAAATGGGCTCACGACGTATTGGCTCCCGACAAATGGGCTCCTGACATATCGTTTCCGAGAAAATAACTTCGACAAATTGACTCCAGACAAATTAATCGTACGACCACTATTAGCATAAAAGTAACCATTATGTCTAACCCACCAAATACGCAGAGTTCCTACCTCCATTACCACTATAAGCGCTAATAATAATGTTTGAATGAAATGCTGTAGCATGAACGAACAACAATTCATAAATAAATCCAGTGTTAAACAGCTAAATTTAACCAAATTAAAAAATTTGAAAATGTAAAATTTACAACAGTAAAGAACTTTAAATGTATGATATTCATACATGATGCTTACAGGATAACGACATATTGTTTTGATAACCTACAAGCATACTGCAGGTAGGGATGTACAGCGTGGACCTCTCTCCCCTCATGCTGAGTTGGAACAACCGACTCATTATGGAAGTCATAGATAGATGACGCTTAAATCTATAACATACTATCTCTAATACTAGATAAAATAATATAAAAATCACATAATTTATTCATGCTAATAATTAGCAATTATTAATCTAATTTTTTTTCTAATTGTTAATTAGATTCAGAGTGCAGACACATGGGCAAGATGAGACCATATCGATGTTAATAAAATGTCGCGATAACCTAACCATCTAAATTCAAAATCGACAACAAATGAAAATTTTTAAGAGGGACATTTGGATTGTGGTTTATTGCACTTACAATTAATCAAATATTTTAAAGAATAACAAGTAAAGGCATGTGCCGCAGTCATTACATTGAAAATTCCAACTTATATTTATCTGTCGATATTGTTTGTCAGTTTTCGCGCAATAGATCTCCAAACCAATCTCATTTTCGATTTGCAAAAAGTTGTATGCTTAATAGTTCGGCGCTTGTTATTTTCTTTAACTATGCAACGCAGAGTCCCCTTGAAGTCGTTATTTAAAGAATGCGTACCAAGAAATTAGTACTTTAACAACTACTTTCAAAATTAGACTTGTATTTGTTTTTAAATATCTTTTTTTCTTAATCTTGCTGGAATATTCTTTTTAGCAGCAAGTTTATTGACATTTTTAAAGTGATCTTTTATTTAAATGTTCTCATAAAATTAATTAATTTATTTTATAGAATATTTTTTCAACAGCATAACTATTTATAGCACACTCACAATAGATATCTCAAACATACCTAAAATGCCGGTAACATGATACTTTACATTAGGAATGTTGAGTGTGGGGATATTTTTCAATTCTTCTTCTTTCGATTTTTGATTAACCTAATTCAAACTTGAGATTTTTACTATTTTCACTTGATAATTTTTTTGTATTAACCTAATCAGAGCCGGCATTAAGAATACTCGGGACCCATGAGCCGACGGGTGAGAAGATAGTGTTGCAATTGAATGTAACCTTTTCCTTTGATATCATTGAGGCAAACCGAAAAGAACCGCAGTCAAGTTAATATTAATTTTAGTCTTATTATTTGTTTTTCTTTTTCACCTTTTTAAATTATCTCATTCAAGTTAAGACTATTTTAGGAAAAAAAATATATTGATAAAAATGATGGGAGAGAAACAAGGCGTGATCTAACCTGTGGTTTGAACAACTGGGCCAAAGGACTGCGTGGTGGGGCGGGGGGGGGGGGATAGATCGACCGACGTCTAACCCGAACAAGACGACGCAGGAACTTGAGAACAACTAGAAAGTCTCTATTTTCAACTAGCTCTCATGGGAACCTGACTCCCGTTAAGGACAGAAAAGGCGACTGACATAGTGCTGACCACACTTTATGTGCCATGATCGAGAAACAGATGAACTCTACGTCTTCTATTATAGTCAAATAGATAATAAAATTACCCTCAATGGCAACTCTTTGTTAGCCTACGACAAAATCGACCTAGGACATGGACGCGAATATTTTAACAACTCTTTTCGATTGTGTCACAGGCTTAAGCAATCATCACTTACTATAAATCAAAGGCTCACTGCAATCAATTACTATAAATAAACGGCTCTCTGCAATCGTTAATATGAATAAAAAAATCTCTCTGCAATCATCAATAACTATAAATAAAAGGCTCGCTGCAATGATGCTGTCTGCTCATGTCAAAGATTTGAATGTTTAATGTAATCAGGACAACAAAAGACTTTTTTCATAACGCAGAGTGGAGCTCAACCGAAAGTCTGAGGTAAGGAAATAATGTTTTGGTTACAAACTTTGAAGATGACATCACATACAATTTTAATAACCCCATGGCTTAATCTCATTCAAGCTGAACGTCACGTGCACACAATCCACCAACCAGTGATGGGAAGCTTAACAATTGAATTGTCTAATTAATATTTTATTCAAGAAGCCATTCTCTTCTTGTTGCGTGAGATTCAGTGTTAAACAAAGATTGATAAAAATCTAGATAAAGCATGTCAATAATCGTTCGCTTCTTAATGAGGTCGGTAAGTAACGAGCTAAGTTGTTAGGTATTAGTTTAGAACTATTAGATTCAACCATCAGTTCTTGTAAATCGTACACGTCTAATAACTTTTCGTTTAACACAGGAATACTATATTTAGTCTATAAATGTTAAATCTCTTATGCGTCTATCAACTGTATCAAAAGTGAATAGCTAAAGCATCTACGGAGCATTCAGTATTACATAATATATTTGTGATTTAAAAACGTGATTTAAAATTACCAGAAAGCAAAAGGTTGTTGAAATTGGATTAAGGAAGCAATAATGCAAAATCAAATTATATTTTCGTATGTTGCACTATCACTGCTTCTTCGAGGTTTGTATACTATGATATATATATATATATATATATATATATATATATATATATATATATATATATATATATGAGTATGTTTGTATGTATGTATTTATTCAAAGTATACGACATTGTATGTATTTATTTAAAGTATACGTCATTTAATTTGACATCTAATCTATGTATCTGTAAAACAAAATGTATGTATGATTTACCTATTTTAGACTATTTTATGAAAAAGTAATACAAAAAGGCCGTTTGAGCTGACGTTGGGTCCTACATTTTTGTGTATGCATAAAACGGGATCCGGACGTTTTCCCGAAAAACACTTGCCCGAATGTGATAAATGCCCGAAAGACACTTCAGGATTTGTCGTAGACCCGCATAAAACAAAAATCTGGAGATAAATCATTGTAGCCAAATGTTTGGTTATGAGAAGCCGCAATAAATAGACCGAGATAAAACAGTAATGGCCTACTCCAGTTTTGGGCGGGGTTTATTTGTAGAGCGGTTATTGACAGGGGAAGATTTGCTTTAGCGCCCGAGACACATTGAGCAGGTAAAGTAGAGTTCATCTGTTTCCACGAGTAAGACATACAGCGGGATAATGTTGTCCGTACAAGGTAAAGCCGACTTTACTTTCCCTTGGTGAACTCAGGGACGTCCTACAGACTCAAGCCCGGGATCCGAACACTGGACGTTTAGTTAACTGTCGTGAGCTCGTTACTAAATGCTAGAGAACCCTTACATTATGTATTAAACGCTAAATAGATCTTACAGTAAATTAGCACCCCCAGAAATACCTAACTCTTTATAAAAGCAGCAATGCTAGAGAGATCTAACCATTAATGTACCTTCCCCACCACAAGCCCTGCTGGCCGATCTGGTGAAGCAGACAAGTTTTAAGATGGTGCAGGAACAAAACCTGCTGATGCTGCCCATCAATGTAGAGTACAGTGACGTCAGCCATCTGTCCTGCGCCTCCCGATGTACGACCTCCAACAAAATGTGCTACTCCTACATCTACGACGGTCCTACACGACATTGTACCCTGGGTGAGTGGAACATTTTATGTAGGACAGTTTACATAGGACATTTTAC